ACAAAACAATAAAATAAAAATTTTTAAAAGAGAAAAGATTTTAAGAAAAAANAAAAAAAAAAAAAAAAACGCGAAAGACAAATAAATAAAAAAATCGTATTACCACGTGATTAACAATAATTATTAATTTTTATTGGCTATTTAGGTAATTATTGATTTTAAATTGGTTTGTGTAATGCATTTATACTAAAAGTACATTCAATTACACTCAATTGCACTGCAGTTAAACTCTTTATCACTTTAAATACAAAATCATACATTCCTACGCTGTATATACCAATTAGTCATCTATCGGTCACCTATCGGTCACCTATCATGCATATACCGGATACCCGATTCATCCAAAATTCAAAAATAAAAGAAACATAATTTATGTTTCTTTAATATATTAAAAAATTCCTAAGCTTACAATTTCAAGTCTAGGTTCATCCAAAAGTCCAGCAACCTAAAAAAAGAAGAAAGAATCGTTTAGTAACATTTCTTAAAGAATAAAATAAAAAAACCACCCACCCTTTTTTTACCTAAATTCCAAAGTTCAGGTCGTATTATTCGTCCGGCAACCTAAAAAAAAGAAAAAGAGAAAAGAGAAGCATTAAAAACGTTTCTCTTAAAAAAAACAAAAAATATTACTCCGCTTATCTGGGTTCATCTAAAAGTTTTTCGAAGGTAAATACCTTCGAATTTTCATTTCACCATCCCGGAGACCTAAAAATTAAACCAAAACGTTAATTACGTTTTGTTGAAAAACAAAAAAAAATAAATTTTTTCAAAGGTAAATAAATACCTTTGAATTTTCATTTTACCATCCAGGAATCTGAATACCTATAAAAAAATAAAATCAAATATTAGTTACGTTTCATTGAAAAAAAAATAACAAAATTAGAAGAATTTCGAAGTATACTTTGAAATTCTATCCAAGGATCTAAGGATTCTGCTAACCTATGCCGATGCCTATAAAATAAACGAAAATAAGGTTGGTTAGTTAAATAAAAAAAAATTTTGAAATAAAAAGTTTAGAAGCATTTATTCGCTTTAAAACTTACCAATCCAAAGCCTAAAGAGTAACTGAACCGATACCTAAAAAATAAAATAAGAAAATAAATTAAATTAACTTAAAAAAAAAAATAATAAATTTCAAAGCTTTTGCTTCGAAACTCACATATAAAATGCCCATCACAAGGATATCAGATATCTACATACAAATAAAAAAAATTAATTAAATTAAAAAAAAATTATTTCAAATAAATTTCAAAGCAAAATGCTTTGAACTTTGAAGCTTACCTATCCAATGCCTATCCAAGGGTATCCGATGGAATTAATATAATAACCTATAAAATAAAATAAAATAAAAATTATTAATTAATTAAAAAAAAATTATTTCGAAGTTTTCAAATTTACCTATATATCCAAAGCCCAAGAGCTAAAAGCCGAAACCTAACAAATAAAGAAAAAAAAAAATCAAAAAAAAAATCATTTTTTTGTTTTAATAAAAAGTTTCGAAGCTCTTCGAAACTCACATATCCAAAGCTGCCCATGTCAAGAGCTAAAAGCCGATCGCGAAACCTACAAAGAAAAAAATTAAAAAATAATTATTTTTTTTTTTAACAAAAGAATTTTCGAAGCTCTTCGAAACTTACCTATATCCAAAGTTCATGAACCAGAAGCCAATATCTAATTAAATATAATATAAATTAAAAAAATATTTTATAAAAAAGTTTTGAAGTGAATTTCACTTTGAAACTTACCATTCTAAAACTTAAAGACATCGTAGCTAGTGCTCTGAACGAGTCGAGTTGAATCCGAGTCTAAATTGATACTCAACTTGACTCGAGTCAACCCAGTTCAGCCTGCTTAAAAATAATGCTTTAATAACTACGTTTTTAATTGCAATGAATACACCTGCACACACCCATTTATCTCTATTCCTGATCACCGTTCTGAAAGAAGAGACCGTTCCTAAAAAAAATAAGAATAAGGTGAGTAAAAAAAAGAACAATAAAATCAAAGAAAAAAATGAAAAAAAAATGAAAATATACTAACCTCCTGCCTTCTTAGAAGTTTACCGAAATCACCGTTCTGAAAGAAGATACCATTCCTGCTGAAGAAATAAGAATAAGGTGAGTAAAGAAAGAATAATAAAATCAAAGAAAAAAATGAAAAAAAATGCAAATATACTAACCTTTCGCACCTCTTGCATTTTTAGAAGTTGCCATTCCGAAAGAAGAGACCATTCCTAAAGAAATAAGAATAAAGTAAGCAAAAAAAGAAACCCGAAAAAAAAAATAAAAATGTACTAACCTTCCACACCTTTTGCATTCTAGAAGTCCATCGAAATTAAAGTTGCAGCTCGAAAAAGCTCAAGCCGGCTCGCCTACAAAAAAAAATCAGTTTCAGACTTTTGGTCATATGACTTACCAAACTGATTTATCAGTTGATAATCTTTTTTTATTACAGTAAAAAAAAAAAGATTATTAAAAAAACGGGTTTATTTTTTTTATAACGAACTCGGCCTTACACCCTTAAACTGAATGCGAAAGGTAAGCGGATTTATATTTTTTTTTTTAATTGATTTAAGAACGTTACTAATGTTCTTTTTCACCTTTTTCTTCTAGAAACACCTTCCGGGACTGGAATTTGGCGAAATGGTAGGTTGAGAAGACTGCTGAAAAGGGGGGGAGTGTTTTTTTTATTGTAGGAAAGCTACTAATGTTCTCTTTCGCCTTTTTCTTTTAGGAATACCTTCCGGAGTAGGATTTTGGCGAAATGGTAGGTTGAGAAGACTTCTGAAAAGGGGGAGTATTTTTATTTATTGTAGGAACGCTACTAACGTTCCTTTTTCTCTTTTTTCTTTAAGAATACTTCCCGGAACTAGAATTTGGCGAAATGGTAGGTTGGAAAGACTGCTGAAAAGAGGGGAAGTGTTTTTTATTGTAGAAAAGCTACTAACGTTCTCTTTCGCCTTTTTCTTTTAGGAATACCTATCATTTCAGCGAAATGGTAGGTTGAGAAGACTTCGGGAGTGTTTTTTATTGTAGGAACGCTATTAATAGCGTTTCTTTTCCTTTTTTTTCTTTAAGAATACTTCCCAGAACTAGAATTTGACGGAATGGTAGATTGGAGGGAAGGAGGAGTGTTTTTTTTTTGATCGTAAGAACGTAACTAAAGTTCTTTTTTTCTTTTCTTTTTTTTTTATAGGAACGGATCTATCGGCACTATTTCTAAAGGTAATTTAGAGGGAAAGGGTCTTTTTTTTATTTTGATAAGAACGTTACTAATGTTCTTTTTTCTTCTTTTTTTATAGGTGCCGTTAGAATTCGACCGGATAAGAGTTTCTATGATGAGATTGGTAGGAATTTTGGAAAAAAAATATAATTTACTATCGTATTATAAGATTGACCAAATTGTCCGGGAATATATATCTCTAAAATCTAATGTATAATTATAAAGATATTGTATTGTTGTTTCAGAAATTTGATGTATAAATTGTAATTATAATTTATTAAATTAAATCAAATAAATAAATAAATAAATAAATACGTTAAATAATTAATCAAAACAAATTAATAGCTCGAGCCCAGCTTGGCTCGAGCCGAAATCTATCAAAGCTTGACTCAGCTCATTTGTTTCGAGCTAAGAATTATTATAGCTCGACTCGAATCAAGCCGAGTCATAGAAATTTTTGTGACTTGGTTCGGCTTAGCTCAATATAATCTTCAAGCCGAGCTCGAGCCAAACCCTGGCTCGGCTCAAGTCGGCTCATGCGGAACTTTAACCGAAATCGCTGTTCTGAAAGAACCGTTCAGTCCGTTCCTGAAGAAATAAAAAAAAAACAAAAAAAAGATCAGATAATCAAATGATTCTATTTGAGTCGATCTTTTCCCGATTTGAGTCAATTCTGAATCAAAAATTTAATAAATAAAAAAAAATTTAAAATACAGGTACCACATATCATACAAATATCGGGTGCCTGGTATACATATCGGTGACTAATAGTTTAGCTATCGGGGTCTAGGCAATTTACAATTTTAGGAATTTTCTAAGATGTAACAAATAGGGTACCCGATATGTAAAAAAGCCCAATATGTACCCGATTAGTTACCGATATATAGGTACCCGATATGTACCCGATAGTATTGATTTTGACCAGTGTTCAGCGTGAATAAAAAAAATAGATAAAACAAAGGAGTTGTTAGTGACAAACCCGTAAACTACCGTACTTCGATAATGAAGGTAAAGGCAAGCCCAGTATAGGTTACTGAAAGAAAAGAAAATTTAATAATGTTAATAATCATAAGAAATATAAAATTATTTAAAGAAAATGATGTTAATAAGAGAATTGTAATTGATGATACCAGAGAAAGTATAAGTCATGTGATAAGGCGCAGTAAAATATATATATAGACCTCCCCGGTCTGAGGAGATTGTGGACTTAGATTATTTTCAGAAAAATAAAGTTATATGAGAATATAGACCTCCCCAGAGCTGAGGAGATTACATAAGAATATTATGTAAGAAGTCACGTGAGTGGTACAAATCACATGAGTAGTACAAATCATATGAATTATAAAAAGTAGGTTACACAAAGCGCAGTAAAGTGATGAAAACAATAAGATAATACATATCTTGATGCAGTGGAATAAAAATAAAATGCGAAAAATTGAAATTTAAAAGGAAAAGGGGGTGTATTTATAATTTTTGGAGTGACACAGATCACGTGTTGAGAAAATAAAAGAAAGAAAATAAAAGAAAATAAGAGAAAGTATAAGTCACGTGATAGGGCGCAGTAAATGAAAGAAAATAAGAGAAAGTATAAGTCACGTGATAGGGCGCAGTAAATGAAAGAAAATAGAAGAAAGTATAAGTCACATGATTGATTATGTAAGCATAGAAATAATATAAATAGGACGTCTTCAGGGTTGAGGAGATTGAAATTAAAAAATAATAAAATAAATTCTGATATATAATTAACGAAAATAAAATACAAGTAAAAGCCATAAAATATGCCATTGAAATTTGAAATACCGAAAGAAAAATTAGAGAGAATTAAAAATAAGTTGAGTACAGAAGATAATATTGAAATAGATATTTATAATGAAGAGGATGTAATAATTGAAAAATGGCATGTTACATATAAAATAGTAATAAAAGAAGTTAATAAGAAAGAATGCAAAATAAGAAAAGTTGAAGAAATAAAAGAAATAAATGATGAAGTTGAAGAAAGTAATGATAATATTTATAGTAACAAAGGAGAAATGGATACTGACGAAAATATTGGAGAAAATGATGACAGTAATCACAAAGAAGATGTAACAAATAATGAAGATGATACCAGTAGTGAAGAATATAGATCAGGAACGGATAAGGAAGAAATTGAAAAAGAAGTAGTAATAGAAAGATCAAAAGCATTCTATGAGTTATTAAAAGACCTTAATGTATCAACGGTAGAAGAATCACTAGAAAGTGAAGAAAATGATCAAGAGGTGACATTAGAAAGATTGTTTACTAAGGCAATAAAAGCGGGACAGGAAGCAGTAAAATGTTGGTATGATGTAGGAAAAGCTGTTAGAAACAAAGTTGAAGAAGAAAGAAATAAATTAGGAATAAAAGAAAAGTCAATAAGAACTAAGATGTATAATGAGTTAACAAAAAGATTAAAAGGATTTAGCAGAAAAGCAATACAAAGTAAGATTGAAAGAGCTGAAAGAGTTTACAAATTATTTAAGGGAATAGGAGGAAGAAGTAAAATAAATAGAATGAAAAATACTAGTATGAACACAATAATAAACCTTAAAGAAAAGAAAGGTGAAGTCAATGAATTAATAAGAAAAGTAAATGAAATAGAAGAAGAAAGAAATAGTATAACAGAAGAACAAAAGTTAAAATATATAAAAATGAAGTTTAAGAGTTAAATAAAATGAGATTATAAGAAGTATGAGAAATATATGAAAGAATTGATATATAAAGGAATAAAATATTTAAAGTAAATTATGAAAAGTGCAAATTTATATCATAAAAAAATAAATAATAAAAGTGTAATAGAACGTTAAAATGGAAATACCAATATTCTATGGTGTAAAAGGAGAAAACCCAAAGGAATGGACAGATCAAGTCGAGAAATATTTATTGAAAATAGGAGTTAAAGATGATAAGAGAATATTTGAAATTGCAAGAACACATTTGTTAGACAATGCGAAAGAATGGTTGGAAAATGAAGGAGTATACATTGTAAATTGGAATAAAAATGAGATTAAATGGTTGAATTTGAAATTCAGAATAATTGATAAATATGCAAGTAATAATAGAAGTTGAGTGACTGATTATTATAAAAGTAAAAGGAAATGGATAATTGTTAAAATAATAATAATAATAATAATAATAATTCTTTTTATAATAAAAATAAAAATACAAGTAAAGAATCATAAAGTATGCAATTAAATTTTAAATTATCGAAGAAAGAATGGAAGGAAGTTAAAAATAAGTTGAATGAGAAGGATAATATTGGAATAGAGAATGCAATAATTGAACAATGGCATGATACACATGAAATAGTAATAAAAGAAGTTAATAGGAAAGGATGCAAAAGAAGACACAGGTCGAAAAGTGAAAAATCAGGCACCAATCGGTCACCAATCAGGTAGCTGATTGGTGACTGATTGGTGACTGATTGGTGCCTGATTGGCATTTTCGCCAAATACCGTCACCAATCAGGCAGTTTACTAACTTTTGATCCAGTGATCAGAAAAAGATGAAATATAGCTCATTGGAATCGTCTCAACAAGACGAATCTAATGGTAGTAAAATTGCATTTCTAGGATTAATAATTAATAAAAAATTAAATAAAATATAAAAAAAAAAATATAAAATTTATAATTTAATTAATTTATAATAAAATATAAATCCTAGAAATGCAATTTTACTACCATTAGATTCGTCTTGTTGAGACGATTCCAATGAGCTATATTTCATCTTTTTCTGATCACTGGATCAAAAGTTAGCAAACTGCCTGATTGGTGACGGTATTTGGCGAAAATGCCAATCAGGCACCAATCGGTCACCAATCAGGTATCTGATTGGTGACTGATTGGTGACTGATTGATGCCTGATTTTTCACTTTTCGACCTGTGAGAACAGTTGAAGAAAGAGTGAGAAATAAATTAGAAATGTTATGTAATGAGTACTTTCAGAGAGGAATGAAATATATTAATGAACATGAAGAAAGATGTGAACACAAAGACACGAATATTTCACAAATGGGAGAATGTAAAATAACTACACATAGGAATAATCGAAAATGTATAAACAAACGGGATGTAGAAATTGAAAAAGTAAGAAGAATGCTAAGGGATACACTAAGTGAAGTGTTAAAAGATAAGGATCAAAATGAAAAGATATTATAAGAAAGGTAGTCAGTGTAATGGAACTAAGAGTTAAGATTGAAATATAGGTTAATTGAAAAATATTCAGATAATAAATAAAGGAACTAGAGGATAAGTAGTTATCCAGAAAGATGTTAAACTAATTGAGAATTAGCGAAGTTAAAAAATATTAAGTTATAAGTAATAGAATATTATATGATAAAAGATGTAATAAGAAAAATGTAATAAGAAGTCATGTACATGAGAATGTAAAGAAATAAAGATTGAAGTAATAAATGAATAGTTATATGAATAAAATATAAATAAACTGAAAATACGAAATGAAATCATTTTACAAGTGAATAAATAAATAAAATAACGTAAAATGGAATGGTATCATCAGTGGGAAAGTGAATACAAGACACATAAAGAGGAACATGAGTTAAGAACAGAGGAATTAGATGAATGTTTAAGTTGTGAATTATGTTATCTGATAGTAAATGAACCAATTGTATTCAAGAAATTTTGGGATGCACTATTCAAATTTGAAGATGCGATAATAATATATAATGATGTAACAATCAAGGGAGTATTAAGTTTATTAAGTATGGATAATTCAGAAAGGGAAGACACAATACATAAAGGAAGATGTAGAGACATAATGGATAGAATAACAGAATCAATAAGGTATAGAATACAACCTAAAATAAAAGAAAAAGGATTAAGAGCAATTATATTAGTAATTGTGAGGGATTGTATTGAAAGAAATCTAGAGAATGAAGTATTTGACAGATTAATTGGGAATCCTGAATTACTAGAACATAAATACATTTTAGAAGATTGGGATGTCAAAAGAAGATTTGAAAAATTTTGGCAATGGTATAGGGTTGCATTAGAAGAAATTAGGGCTGTAAAAGTAAAAGTAGAAGCAATAGGAAAGTTCAAGGAATTATTGTATGAAGAAGAAAAGATAGCAGAAAGTGAAGAAAAAGTGAAAGAATTAATGCAAGAAATAACACATGAGAATGTAGAAATAGATAATGTTCATGAACATCATAAGAATATGGTACAGAAGATAATAAGAATATTTATAGATACTAGGGGTTTTACAAAAGAACCAGAAGATTCAGAAAGTGAAGAAAGTCCAGCAAGTTATGAATTGGAAAACAGTTCTGAAGAAGAACTAGAAATAATAATAGGAGACAAATCATGGAAATTTAGCGAATTAAAAAGAAGGACAAGTTCTATAAATGAAGATCAATTAAAATACATCTGGAAAATAGGAATAAAGTTGATGATAGAAATGGATGTATTGGTAACAAAAACATTTATAGATAAAGTTCAAGAAATAAAGGAAATGGATGAAGAGGTTGGAAAGAGAAACAGTAATATGTAGAAGGTGCGGTAATAGGAGATTTGAAATGAACAAAATGGATAGCGAATGTGAAGAATGTATTCAAGAAATGCAGAAAGATGAATAGGATGAGTTAGCAGAATTAAAAGATGAATTAGAAAAATTGGGATATGAGATAGATGTATCAGAAATTCAAAGAATAAAAGGTTTTGGAGTAAATAATCGAATAATGATAACAAAAGAGTTTATAAAAGAATATATGAAGATAATAGATTTGGAAGATAAAGAAGTAAGAAAAGAAATTCATAAGTGGTTAAACGAGAATACAACTTGGTGTGAAGGATGCGAAATAAAATGGATGAATAATATGTTTAGATTAGGAGAAATTATATGTAAAGATTGTAAGGAAGAAGATATCAATGAAATGGACGATCGAGTAAAGAGATTGAAGAAAATATTTGAAGGTATGGGAATAATAATGATTGAAGGAGAATTATTAAGATTAATTAGTATGGGGTATACAGATGGAGAAATTTTAGATAAAGAATTTATTGAAATCTTTCAAGAAAATAAGAATGAGTCAGAAAAAGAGCTAAGGAAAAAGTTAGATAAGTTGTTAAAGGAACAGGCAGGAATAATGGATAGTGAAGAAAGTGGTGAAAAGAGTGATAATGAAGAATCAGAAGAAGATAATACAGATGAATCAGAAAAGATTGAAGAAATATTAAGCCCAGAAGAAGATGAGGAATGGAATGAAAATATTGAGAATATAAATGAAGAAGGAATCGAAAATATTATAAATACAGGAGGTTTTGGTTCAAGTCAAAATTCAGATTCGAATAGTTCATTGAATATTAAAGATTCTGATAACGAAAGTGAATTATCTGATTACAATTTACAAGATTTATTTCAAGAGAATATATTATTAAATATGGCAACCGAAATACAAATAAGAAGAATGCTTGAAAATGCTTTAGGATTAACAGCTAATGCATTAGATAATGCATTAGGAGCAGGACAAACTATAGTAGATAGAATTGCAACTGCAGGAAATGGAAGAATAGTAGGTATGCCAACTTTTAGTGGAAAAGAAGATGAAGATGTTAACGATTGGATTAGACAGTTTGAAGTAGCATTTACAGTAAGTGGAAGACCAGAAGGAAATATTGGAGGAGGTGCATGCAGACAAAATAAAGCGAATATAGCAATAACCTGTTTAAGAAAAATCGCATTACAATGGTATAATGAAGAAAAAGAAAGAGTAGTAGCTAATTTAGTAAACTGGTGTGATCACGATGATGATAGAAATTTAAAAAATAAATTAATTAATAGATTCACTAGAGAAGATGTTAAAAGAAGAAAAATGATAGAACTGACAAGGATTAAACAAGGAAAAATGAAAGTGTTGAAGAATATACCAGAAGGTTTAGGTCAATATTAAGAATTGCGATCAGAGGTCAAGTATTACATGATCTATACCAAGTAAATTATTTTATTCAAGGATTAGAACCTATGTTAGGATATCAAGTTAGGAGAAGTAGTCCAACGAATCTAAATGATGCAGTTAATATGGCAAGAAGAGAAGAAGAAGCTAGGAGTGAACTATTAATGAAAACAATGGGTTTAAATATAGAACAATTGGGACAAGAAAAGAATATGGAAGAAATCTTGAGAGAAGAAACAAATAAATATAAGAAAATGAATCCAATTGCTGAAGAATTACAGAATAAAGAAGTTAAAAATGATGAAATGGATGAAATGATTAAGAAATTGGAAAGAATGGAAGCACATATGATGGGAAGGAATGGAAGTACTAGAAGACCAATGAGAAGAGATAATAGAAATAATGTTGATTGGAGTAAAATGAGTTGTTATACATGTGGAAAACAAGGACATACTTTAAAGATTTGTAGAGAAAATCAAAGAGGAATGAATAGAAGAAATAATCAAGTTAATTACCTTAATGAGGATTATGATGAAGAATATGATGCTTATAATATAGAATATGATGGCTATGATGAATATAATGAATATGAAAATAGTGAGTATGATGTTTATGAAATGGAAAATGAAAGTGATGTTGAAGAAAATGATATGTATCCAGCACCGATCAGAAGAAGCGAAAGGAATAAAGATAAAGTTATGAATGATGAAAGAAATAGAAGAAGAAATGTACAATGGCAAGAACAATAACAAAAAG